ATTTAGAAACATCTATAGATTTTTAAAAATCTGCAATAAGACTTGCAAAAATGTAAAACTATGCTACTCTGCTCACTTGCAGTGTTTTGTTTGGAAAAAATAGTTATTTTTTATTGAAATGTCATCTATGTTAACTGAATTTGTTATTGGTAATTCTAAATAAATTAAGAGATTCATATTTGTAAAATTGTTTTTATTTCTAATGTGGTAAATATCAGTAAATATAACCCACATAAACAATAGGTTTGGGCAGTCCCCAATTTTTTACATGTAAGTGATTCCTGAGACCAAAAAGTTGGAGACTTCTGGTGCATACTTCTTCTGGCCTCAAGGTAACTCCTCTACCCGGGGTGACATCTGTATTCCAGGTGAACGAGGGAAGGAGGAATGCTGGAGCAAGGAGCAATGGCTGTATCAGGAGAGCAAAATTCCCCCCAGAAAACCCCGAGGTTACTTGTTTTACAGAGAACCTTCTTATGCATTTACCCTTAGCTGCAATAGTGTGAGAAAGTGAGAACTTTGAGTTGGGCCTTTGCTGCTCAGAACAAAGTTGGAGTTCTATTGGTGGGATGAATATTGGCTGTTACACATAGGGGCTTTTTGTTTGTTTGTTTTGCTTTGTTTTAATGACTGGTCCTGGTCAGAGTTTCAGGGAAATTCCTACATGAAGTTCTATTGTTTGACTCCTTTATGCAGAATCCCAGAAACTTGCTTAGACATCTCACCTCATTTTCTTCTTGTTAATTCTTGACTTCCAGTTTCCAGGACTTGTTTGTTCTCTGTGGGCTCTGTGTCTCAGCTTTGCCCCCAAAGTACATTGTATTGGAGCCACACATGGACTTGCAAAACATTGACAGGACTGGCCAGATTGTGAAATGTCCTTTATTCTTCAACAGAGCTGATTTTTATCTTTGTGATTTTGTAACTTCTTACATTAACAAAACTTTTCTCACACCCTCAGTCATAGTATTTCCCAATCTATATATCAGTCTGTCTTCCGATATGTATTGACTCACTGGTGAGTTCACTGCCATCTTTTACACAGAAATTTAGTTTTACAGTAGTCATGATTTATGATTTATTTTTAAAAAAATGAGTCATGATATTCACTTATACCTCAGTTTTTAAAAAATGAGTCATAGCCTTTATGCGTTATTTTGGCCCAGGATTTGGAATGAAACTTGCATGTGCAGTGTGGTCTGGGAACCAGCAGCATGGATGCCACCTGGGAGTTCCTTAGAAATGAGCAATCTCAGTGCACCTCAGGCCTACCAAGTCACAGCCTGCATTTTAGTAACTTCCCTAATTGATTCAAGTTGCAGCGTTTTAGAAGCACCGGTCTAAGGGAGAAAATAAATGAGAAGAGGGTATGGAGCTGTGTTCTAAGGAACATTCATGGTCAGTGTAGGAAAAAGCCCACCAAAAAGACACGGGGATGCGAGCGAGCCAGGGAGGTGTGTGTCTCACAGCATGGGGTTGCCTGGTGCTGTTTCTGAGGAAGGAAGGTAACAGTTTCTATTTCCAGAAGCGAAACAGAGGCTTTCATCTCTCCCTGAGTTACAAAATGAGGGACCCATTAAGCAGTTACTGAATGTATTAAAGATTATCCTATGTAATAAAAGCCTAATATGCAAATCGATGGAATGGCAGAATGACCAGTCGGTGGGGAGTGTGGCTGGTGAGTGGGCAGTGCCAGGCCAGCCAAGGCAGGTGCCAGCAGGCAGAGGGCGGGGACAGTGATGGGGCGGGCAGCGGCGACCAGCGGTGGAGGTGGAGGGGCAATGGGGGGGGCAGGGCTGGCCGCTCGCTGGCTGGCACCATCCCCCGATCAGCCCGCCTGTTGCCTCCTGCAGAGGGAGGCCAGACTGCGGGGAGCGAGCCTAAGCCATCAGTCCGACATCCCCCAAGGGCTCCCGGACTGTGAGAGGGCACACGCTGGGCTGAGGGACCCCCAGAGTGCATGGGCCTCTAGTATGAAAATAGTTGGCCAAGGCTTTTTATTACTTGGTTATTGAAGCGTAGTTGCAGCTTGAACTGGAAGGGAGCTCTTGTTCTCCTTGGAATGCTCAATTCCAGTTCTTGACATTGATGTTGGTAAACTTGCCTTCTCATTCAGAAACATGCCTGTGTGACCATAGGAGAGAATGGTGTTACCCCCTCTACCCTGATATGACTCATAGATGTACTTTCTTATGTCATTCTTCAGCTTTTCCCTAGTTGACATTCCTCATCCAAACTCTTTCGAAGTGGTTCTGTGGTAATGTCATCCTTGGAACAGGCCTAGCAGCCACATTGATTTTTGTCCATATTCTGTCACTGATGCAGCTGTTCGCACTTGGTAGTCACATAGTAAAAAGGATGGAATGAATGAGTAACTGAGTTGAATGAATCCTGAGATTTTCTTGCTGAAAAATAGGTCTGTTATGGTCTTGAGCTTGTTAGATTTGTCAATAAGTCCAAACAAATGTCGCAATATTTAAGGGAGGAAAAGTCTGTTGGAAATGAATTGTTAATTTCCTACCAAGCAGTGGAGAAGCAATCCTAAATGTCGATAGGCTTCAGGCTTTAAAATATCTGCATCTTTTGGGGCTAGTTCTTTGTTTGATTTTACCAATGCATTTTATTGTTCTAACAAGGGAATCAGAATAAAGGCTTACAACATTAAATTTATGTCCCAAGTTCATAAGGCAAAGAACAACTTTTAGCTCTTAATCTGGATTTATAATGTTATCTAGCTTAACTTCTAGTCCTCTCCCCACCATAATATTCCTTCTTTATGGAATGATGAGTGTCAGAATGAATTATTGCTTTTCTTCATACCTCAGAACTTCTCTGTAGGTTTCTAGCTGGTTTTAAACTATCATTTTTTGTAATGGTGATTATAATTGGTTTTGTATACAGATAATCCAAGGTGTATATTATGAAAATTTAATAGTAAATCCCCGGTGGATGAGCTGTTAAGCCTGGATTCACAGCAGTGCCCTGTGTTTGTCTGTAACACATTCTTGACTCAGGAATAAAACTTAAATGGTTATAGATTTACCTGTACTGTGGGCAGAGGGACTTTCCATTCCCAATGAGTGAATGTGTGAATATGATGATTCTGTCATATTCCTAATTAAGTTTTTTAAAAAAAACAGTCATCAGAAACATATTGCCAACACTCTGAGTATACTTTGTAATTTTGTTCTTTTCCTTTATAACTGTCTAATTGACTAACTTAAGACCAACAAATATCCCATTGAGACTAAACACTTAATAGCATTGTCTGTATTATATTACACTTAAGAGACCTAAGCTTTGGTTTCCACTCAGGTTTATAAAATAGAGGATATAACAAAAATATTCCAAAAATTGCACAAATGCATTGCTGTAAAGATAAAGAAGACAGCACTGGTAAAGTGAGTGAGTGCCGGCGGCAGGCCACTTGGGAGATGCTGAAATGCCTCTTTATCAGCATGTTAGGGATAGTAAATGTTCAAAAGCCAAGTGTACCAAAGTCAAGGCAGTCTGTAATTTGTGGGTTGAGGGGGAAGGGGAAAGTTAAAACTTTTATTGATGGCTTGATATCTTTAAAGAGAGCCATGGTGAAATGGAATCAACTCTTCCTCAAGGACTTTTTAAATGATCTAGCTCCTTTGTATCTCTGGCTGACTAAATAATTTTATCTGCTAATCACATCTCAACCTTCACTGGTCCTCCCCAGGTAATTGCATACCATGCTACCTAAGTAGAGAATTGATGCTCTTAAGAATACAAGAACTATCATATCTCTTCCATTTGCAATAGTCTTTTCCCCTCCTCATTTGGGTTTAGAACAAGGATAAGTAGATTCAGGAAAAGTTACTTTCTTATTTTTAAAAGTCAGATTTACACTTGGAATACTCATTTTTAAAGAAAGTTATAGTGTGGAAGATTGTCATATTCATTTTTAGGGCTGCCATAGCCAACTAGCACAGATAGGGTGGCTTAAACAATAGGACTTTTCTCACAGTCTACAGACTAAACGTCTGAGATCAAAGTGTCAGCAGGTTTGCCTCCTTCTGAGGCCTGTCCTAGGCTTGTACATGGCTGTCTTTTCCCTGTGTCCTCACATGGTATTCCCTCCGTGTGTGTCTGGTCCTAATTACCTCTTCTTGTAAGGACACCATTCGTATTGGATCAGGGCCCACCCTAATAAGCTGACCTCATTATAATGTAATTACTCCGTTAAAGGCCCCATTTTCAAATATAGTCACATTCTGAGCACTGGGGGTTAGGACTTCAACATATGAATGTGGGGGGACGCAATTCCGTCCATAGCAATATGTCTTAGGAAGGTCAGCTTAAAACCAGAAAGGCCAGTTAGGAAGTTCTTCAAGAATTCCAAGTGAGAAATGAAGAGACCTAAACTAAGGCTTTGACAATGGAAATGAAGATGAGATTGAGAGGCATTAAGGAGGAAGAATCTGATGTAAGACTTTGTGACTGATCGTGGAGAGGGGTGAGAGGGAAGAAGCTAGCCTGACTCAGATTTCTCTAATTCAGGAGGAGAAATAGGCTTGAGGGAATAGATGTGAGCTGTGCCATGTCCCTGCTGAGTACCAGCACTTTGACAGCCAAATGAGCAGGGTGGCATCAGCCTTCCTGCTTCCTTTCCCCCCGTTTTACAGGGTCCTCAGAGAATGGACCACCCCACACACATCTGCGCATGCCATTTCTTGCCTGTGACCCTCCACTGGAATGTGTCATAAGACATTTACTGCCCTCTTATTTTCTCAGTTAATTCCAAATTCCTGGTGGTGGTTTGTGTTTTGTTTTTTTTTCTTGTTAAGTTCCTTTAGGGCAGGGGCTATTGTTTTACTCATCTTTGCCAAATTCTCCATAATATATTAGGTGACCCCGTACATAGTAGTTTGTGTTCAGCAAATTCTAGTTGAGGGAATGACTTGTCAATACCATTGTTGTGATCAATTACTTGTTCTTTGCACATTTTAATCACCTGTTTGGTTTTCTTGCAGAATGAGAAGACTTTGGGACATCCCATGAGTCATTCAAGTAGCATTTCTAAGGTAAAGTGCCACTGAAATATGTTATTTTTATATTTTCTTAACTTGCATGTGTTTATACTCTTCTTTTAAAGACATAAACTTGCTGTAGCTGGTTTGGCTCAGTGGATATAGTGTCGGCCTGCGGACCGAAGGGTAGGGTGCAATTCCGGTCAAGGACGCATACCTTGATTGCAGGCTCCTCCCTGGCCCAGGCCCTGGTTGAGGCTTGTGCAGGGAGCAACCAATTGATGTGTTTCTCTCACATCGATATTTCTTTCTGTCTTTCCCTCTGTCTTCCACACACTCTAAAAATCAATGGGAAAATATACTTGGGTGAGGAGAGGAAGGAAGGAAGGAAGGAAGGGAGGGAGGGAGGGAGGGAGGGAGGACAAGGGAAGGGAAGGGAAGGGAAGGGAAGGGAAGGGGGAAGGGAAGGGAAGGGAA